ACAAATTAAATACTCAGTGTGGCCGTCTGGGGGTAACTAACAAAGTCTCTCCCCCTGGGGCTCGCTTGCCATGCCTTGATGTGATGGAAGAATAAGAAGTTAATTCCCCAGTGAGAGAGGGTGTAGTAAATCACCCCAGAAGCAGGATAAAAATAAATTGGTTTATTAGTGAATTCCCAGCAGGCTGTGGATAACCCCCGCTGTTCTCATAGCATACAGTCTTCCTTCCCCCTCCACTACCGTGCAACCCACTCCCCTGAGCCTGTCAGATTGCCTCCAGTATCGCTTTCTTTCCTTCCCTCGTAGATGTCAGCAGATTCTTCCTCTGTGATCCTCAGGGGGAGAGAAAGTCCCAATCTGGTAAGTATTCCCCCTCTCTCTCTCTCACCTCTTTGCTTCACCAGTAGCCATTACCTTCACTGGGTCAGCCAGTCTTATCAGCGATCCATTCCAGCACTGGGTTTGCCATTCCTGGCTTTTCCTACCGACTCTCCTCACACTGTGCCCCAGGAGGCAAAGAATAGCCCCCTGCCATGGACCTTAATAGCTGCTGGCTCTTAATGAAGCAACATTCACCCCTGGTGTGATCCCTCTCCCCAACTGTGCCTACTAAGTAATTATCCTTGCCCTGTCTCTGACCTGACTCTCCCCCACACTCGCAACTTTGTAGCACCGAAGGAACTGGGATGTTCCTTGCCCTGTTACATTCAGTCTTATGAGAAATCATCTGACAACTGACAATTTGGATTTTGTTTGCATCTGATGACAACCAGCTACCAGCCTAACATCACTAAAAACTCAGCTGTCAGAAGCAGGGCCAAGACATCTTTTTTACTCATTTACAGCAATGAAGACAGAGCATCTATTTTAAGGAATTAAACAACCAACATCTTCCATGATATCTCTTTGGAGAAGTGTGGGTGTGGTGTATGGGTGGAGGAGCCACGCAAAGACCCAAGATGTGATCTTCCAAGCTTCGCTGTAAAGGCTAAGGACAATCAGGTGCCAACCCCTGTCTCTCTCTATTCTACCTACCATTTAAAGGTCAAGGTGTGGTGAGTGAATTAAGAGAAGATGACAGGAGTAGGGGAGGTAGGACCCTGTGACCAAGGGCCTAACTCTGCCCCCTGCCCTACTATCACCAGGTGGTTAGTGCTTCTCTCCTCTTCTCTCCCCTTTTTTCCTATTTCTTTATTTTTCCACTCCCTTTTTTCTTTCCTTCTCTCTCTTCTCTTTATCTCAACACAACATGCTTAACAAAAAAGAATACACAACAACAAAGGTGGTATATGAAGTTTTATTTATTGTCACCAGGTTTAGAATTTTTATAAAACCTGGTATTTACTGTATTTAAAAAAACAAAAATACCACCGACATGATTATTAACCATATTAATATGCAGCGTGTTCTGCCACATACCCCCCCCACCCCAGTTTTGTTTTTCTAGCATGCCAACATACTAGCACCTTACAAGGTGTAGTCATTGCCGTTTCTTCAGCACTCTGGCCAAAGACATTGCATACCTGTTATAACTGGTAATATCTGAGAAGCATGGGCATGGCTATGAGGCAGATAGAGGCCCCAGTTATAGCCCTTAGGGCACCAAAGGGCCACAGAGGCTTGACTGACAGCAGGTCAACAGTGCAGTAGACTCATTCTGAACTCTCTGGGACAGCCCTGCAACCCCTTTTGGGTCCTTAAGGCATGGTGGGTGAGCAATAGAAAAGGGCACTCCAAAGAACCAGAGTGGGGCAGGAACCACATGCCCACCAGTGGGCGCCACAGTGCTACTAGACATTGGTCTTGTTGTACTCTTATATAGCAGTTTTCCTCAGTAGATCTCAAAACAGTTTACAAAATATCATTATTCCCATTTTACACGTGGGGAAACTGACACGAAAAAGGGAAATATCTTACTGAAGCTCACCTAGAAGGCCAGTGGCAGAACTGGGATTAGACCCAGGTCTCATTAGCCCCAGCTATAGTTTAGGTCAGGGATGCCCAACTTTAGCACAGCTGGGGATTGTATGTGGTACCTGTAGCCTGTATACAGCCCCCCTTGCTGTGCAGGTTGCAGCATTATCAGTGTACAGGCCTGATCCAGCCCCTCACTGTGTGGACTGTGTATACAAAGTACCCAGAACCTCACTGCACAGACCCTAGACTATAAAAGAAGCTGCCATGGTCCATAGGCTGTATGTCAATTGCTCATGGGCCACCATTTGGACAGTTCTGCTAATAGGCTATGACTTCAAGTATAACCTGACACTATACACCAAATTCTGCAGGAAGTTTTTCAGTCATGGAAAAAGCATGCAACAATGGAACTCAAACAGCCTTGCTAATTTCAAAGCAGCTGTTCAGATATCAAATACACCCCTCAAAGCACGCAACTACTGTATAAAGTACTAAGAGGAATGGTTAATAAATTCTCTCAAAGCTCATACCTTTCTGAACCAGTTACTTTGTAAGATGCCTCTCTTCTCTTATTGCCTGGTAGAAAAAAAAGCAATAGTGTACCCCACAGAGTACTGCATTAAGAACACCATCTTAATAAACTAAGCCATTGAAAACTTGCTGGGTATCTAGACTTTTCAAACAGAATAAAAATTCTATAAATCACTATTGCAAGATTAGGAAAAACTGTGAGGGGGAAAAACTGGCATAAAAAGCCAACTACCCTATTCAATAAGCAGTCAGGATGTAAAGTGTTGGGAGAAATTTTCCATGTCTTGGAGATTAAAATATTTTTAAAATACTGACACAAAACCAACAATTCCTTCTGACAGCAATAAATGCCTACAAAAAGCCTGAAAGAGTTCTGGTCCTTACTCTCTGACAGTTTTTCTGTGAAAGTGATATTTAAAGTTACAGGTAAGTACGAGGAAAAATTATTCATGAGAAATAAAATTGGAAACCTATTGGTGTAGCACATAACTTCATATTTTGTATGAAGAAGATCTATTGAGAAGATAAAAAATGAGCTGGAGAAGCTATTAAATGAATATTCTTGCCATCATATCAAGAGACATTATAAAATCAAACTAGTAATTCTTCCCAGTGGGATTTCTCAGAATACTTATCCTGGTAATTCAAGAAAATAATTATAGCACACGGGAGGAATTATTTAAATCAGGGATGTCAAACTCCTTTGGACCCATGGGCTAGTCAAGTAGTGTAAGACCAGTCCATGGGCTGGATGAATGGTACTGCCAGCCCTGTGGGCCAGATGAGGTCCACAGATGCTCCCCTCCCCTCCACCCTTCCCATTCTAAATCCAGTGCCTGCAATGCACACTCCAGGGTGTGCGCCACAAATGACACCTGCGTGCAATATGGGTCCACTGCAGGACCCAGACTGCAAGCAGTACCCACCCTGGAGCAGCTGATGAGGGAAGAGGAAGGTGGTGCCACATGAAGAGCACGTTCTGAACTGGCTGAGCTAGGTACTACCTGAAATGTGGGTCCTGAGCCAACCAGAACAGGCCAAGTATGGCATACAGCCCAGGCCCTGTGCATGAGGCCAGTCCAGCACACGTCATATGGGTCAACACTGGACACAGGGGCAGCACTGGGGGATGGATAATGGGGCTCCAAAAGCCAGATCCAGCCCAAAGACTGCATCTTTGATGCCCCGATTTAAGTAAAAAAAAAAAATGTTACAATAATACTAGCATCTAGAGCTATACCTTACAATATTATAAGAAACCAGAATTCAAGTTTAGTTATCACACTTGTTGTAATGTTTTTGGTCTATAGTGAGACAAATTAGACAATCCTATTTTACAGGGTTGATAGTTATGGTGTTTTAACATTTGCTTCTGCCTTCAATTAGACTAGTCGGTTGGAATATAGTTCTACTAATACTCAGGAATAAAGTTTGTTTTTTGTTCTTTTCAAAGGTAGGCGGAATTTCAGGTATCTGACTGCAATGCAATTGCAAGTTAGCATTTTAGTCTACTTCATAGCCAGGTAACGGCAATCAAAGTAGAACAGGGGTGGGCAAAATGCAGCCCATGGGCCAGATGCAGCCCACCAGGCCATTCTATCCACCCCGTGGGGCCCCTAAAAAATTTAGAAAGTTTGTATTTATCTGCCCCTGGCTGCCTGTCATGCGGCCCTCAATGGCTTGCCAAAACTCAGTAAGCAGTCCTCTGCCTGAAATAATTGCCCGCCCCTGAAGTAGAAGGTCCCTAATTTGGGTTTGTATTAAAATGAATAGAACATACTCTGTTTGTGCAAGATGGGGATTTTGCTTTTTACTTGCATCTGATTTGGAAGTTCTTTTTTTATTATTATTATTCTGCAGACAGTACTCAGTTGGGCACAATGATGAAGACAAGGTGTTCAGAGCTGTCTTTAAAACCAGTTTCTGCTACTTTCCCTTACCTGCTCCAGATAACATTCACTTGGCTTTATTCCCCCTTTGGCATCTACTTCAACCATCACTGAAAGAGTGCTCTGCTGTCTTGCATCCCACAGCTGTGTGAATCAACAAAACTATATTCTACCATTTCAGGCTGTTTGTAAGTTGATCCCAGCCAATGTTTTGGACTGAACTTTTTAATCAGAACACCAGTTCTCTTCTGCCTCTGGAAAACAACAGAAGATGAAATGCTTAATGGAGTTCTTCACACTACAGTAAACATACCAACACCTACCACAAGCAACAGACAAGCCAAGATTATCTTTCCTTGAATATATTAGTGCATGGGTCAGCAACATTTTTGGGCAGAGTGCCTAAAACACATGCAACCTTGACTTGCATGTTGGCATGCCAGGGGTGGATGGCAGAAGTGCCGCAAGGGGCCTGATCCTTGTTGTGGCAGTGCTGCCTTGGTCCCTTCCCCACTGTCTGCCCTCAGGAATGCATGCCAAGCAAAATGCCTTCATGTGCCATGCTCTGGCACCTGTGCCGGGAGGTTGTCTACCCCTGTATTAGTGCACCTTGAATAATGTTGGCAAGATCTCTATGGTGTCCTGATCAGCCTGTGTGTGTTCAGATGAACAAATATTTTTATTGTAAACAGATGAGAACAAAGTACCAAATCAACATGGTACAAGGTACCCAAAACCAAACAGTTCCTTAGGCTATTTCTAGCAGAGGAACAGTGTTATAATACTGGTTCTCCATAATTTTTCTTCCTTTTCAGTAGAAAAATACAAAACAAAAAAACTTAACAACAGCCCAAAGTCAGCCTTTCTTCACTAAGTAAAGTCTTTGTTCTACACCAAAAGTGCTAGTTATGTTCCTAGTCATGTTTGAGATGCTTTCTTAGTTATATTATTTCCTGTTCCAGGGTTTCTTCTGACACTTTACTTCCTGAGGTATCATCATCATTAGAGTAATTTCCTGAATCTCGACTGCTTTGTTTAGAGTTACTGTAGTTTTTAAAGTTTGCTTCTTCTTGAATGGTATTCTCAATTATACAACACTTTTCTGCTGGTTCCTCTGAAGTCGATATATATAGATTACTGAAGAGTTGTCCGCCAAAGGGCTACAGGTGAGGGAAAAAAGGGAAGGAAAGCAAAGATTATTCATCTTAAAACTAGCAAACAAAAAAACTCTTAAATGATGCTAGCTAATAAAGCTGCTTACAATCACATTTTCATTGTATTCTACACATCATAATCACATTCTCCACCTAAAATACTACCTTCTCAAAAGTATAAGTTATAAAGTATACATTAGCTATAAACACTGGTGTGCAACCATGGGAAAGAACTATACTTTTTATATACAGACATATACACACATGCATACGTGTGTGTGTGTGTGTGTATACTATATATAAATAATATGTATTTACACAGAATATAGATATGAGTCTTAACTTGTTTCCCTAATCACTTACTGTGTTAGTATTTAGGAACTTACAACATCCCAAGCACTGTACAAAGACACCTAACCTACTGAACAGACAGCTGATACATCATCACAGGAGCACACAAAGGCGTGGAGGAAGATTTCAATTCAGAATATTTTCAAAGAGCAGGAAAGTGGTGGTAAAAATATCAAAGCCTACTTTTTATCGACAGGCACCATTTATACTCTTTGTACGGAGGTGATAAAAGTGCTGAAGAATTATACAAAAAAGAAACCACACAGAGAAGCGCTGAGTGTACTGGGATAAGGAGTAAAAGTATTTGAGTGGTAGTATAGGGAGCTCTCCAGGCTTAAGTAGCTCCAGTACTTAACTGAATTCTGGATACATTTAACATCCAATCTTTTGCAGGGATCATTTATTTAAGAACCCCCCAGAAAATATCATTTGGAAAAAAAAAGATGAAAGATTACATGAAATGTGTTGCTAGCCTTCTACTGAACCCAAAAAACCTGAAATTTTGCCTTATAACTTAGATTATTGATGACACTTTGATGTTAACTGTGGTATTCTTTTTAAAATTATGACTCGACTAAAACTATTTTTTTATGTAAAATTCTGATCAATTTACATGCTGCCTACAGCATAATGTTTTCAGAGAACATTGTGAATATTGATTCAAGTTCCTCTTAAGCTGGTATCCTGCTTTTTACTCAGTGTGGCTCAGGATCTGATAGAACAGGGTCATAGCCATATCACCAGCTATGACATCCACTGTAGTTGTTCAGCTTCTTTATTATTAGTGCCAGTCTCAGACTGTCCTTGTACACTACAGCCTGAAGGCTGGATCTAGTTACAATACTGGGTGCTCTAGCAGAATTCTAGCAGCAGGAGGCTTTACCCACACCACTGCTGCACAGCACATAAAAGTAGCAGCAAAAGCTAAACTGGAAGCACCAGTCTGCCTCAGACCCAAGCTGTATTATTTCAACCTGTGGTTGGTTAACCATTGCTGATCGTTACACTGGAGTTCTGGGAACCAGATAATATAAGCCCTTCGGTGAAGAAGAAAAGAGAACAAGCAGCAGAAATAGGTATAATTTAAACTCAAGTATTGTTGCTCAAACAAAATAAATTTCAAGTAGTATTTACCGCAAAAATCATTATCTGAATATGTACAGACTGCAGATAATTTACAAGACCCTACTTTATAATGGTGAGAGCAACTCAGAGACTAAGATGGAATTTATCTTAATCCCTTATATCCCTATCCATTAGGCATTTACAGTCTTAAGCCTGACCTGCCCTGGTTTCAGTTACCGCAGTTTCAATAACTGCAGGTTTTTTGTTCAAGTGGGCGAAAGTGGAAAATGGTACCTTTAGTGAAAGGTGAAGAGACAGAGCTAATCTTACACTACTTTTGGAGGTAATATTTAAAGTTGCTGGACTGGGGGTGAACATAAAATGAGGCTTATCTTAATGGAACAGCTGTTGCTAAGTAGGGGAAAACAAACTGCTTCAAGAAGTTAATTTTTACCTTTAAAAAAAAAAAAAAAGGAACCAGAAGTTGAAGAAAACACTAGTTGAGCTAATGAACTGACCTATATTGAATAAAGAGCTGAATATAGAAAATAGAGATATCTACCACAGCTATTAAACTAAGCCACTTCTCTGTCTTCTATCAAAAAATATATACATCCTGAAAGCTATGGAGGAAGATGCAGGTTAGTCTAAAAGAACTTTCTTGATTCTTATTTACTCCATTAAAACTTGTTTTCCAAAAGGTTCAATTAATTAATGTCTTACAGAAATAGTTTAAGGAAAACATGAAGATCTGTTTTACTATATTTATTCAAATCTAAGATGACCCTAAATTTAAGATGACCCACCCAATAATTAATTCTATAATTTTCACATTTACTATATATAACAAATTTATAAAGGTATAGAATCTAATTATTGGAGGTTTATCTTGAATTTGTCCCCCTCCCGCTGCTACGTCAGAGAAAATAGTGGCTCGGGGGGAAGTTGGTGTCAGGTGGCCCCCTTGTCCTCTTCCTCCTCCACTGCTTCCCCTCATAGTCTTCCTGCCCTCCTGCCACCAGCATCCCCCACTCCAGCTTTCCACAGTCTCTGCCCCTTCCCTCCCTGCAGTCTCTGCCTCTTCCTCCCCACCTTACTTTCCGACATTGCTTGAGCTCTCTTTCCTCCCTGAGCACAGCACATGGAAGTGAGCTGTGTGTGACAGCAGGGGGGGGGAGGAGGGGCAGAAGCTGCAAATGAGGGGCAAGGGCTGCTTTGTGTCTAACCCAGACTCAGGGCCAGAGTCAAAGCCACAGCAGCCTCTTACCCCCACTTTTGCTTTGTACAGGAAAACAGTTAATTTGAAATGCAAGAGACCAAAAAAATACCCACTTCAATTTGCATATATGCAAATTACTATAGGTACACTTAAATTTAGCTCATCAGAATTGACACACTTTGCCTTCTTGCAAGTTTCAGCATAAACTTACTCCATAAACACACTTTTGAGAAGCACTTTTGTATGGACTTATACACAGTACAAACTATGCATGATATTAATCCAAAGCCAAAAGGCTCATGATTTACCATAGAGCTCATAGGGCTGGGATCCAGCAGAGTTCAGCACTGCTCAGTATGTGTGTGTACTTCAGATACCCCCCACAAAGGATCTACATGGTAATTAGTCTCCCACTTGCAACTGGAACTGGGTGTTCTTTTCACATGTCTTAGAACCCTCCAAAATGTGTATGGAGATGATGTGCGGGGTTGCCTGGTCAGGCGCCACCCTATGGAGGGGGGGCAACACTGGTCACATGCAACGGGCTGAGAGAGGGGCAATGGAGCCTTGCATTTACATAGACATTTGATAATGTTTGCCAGACATTTAAGGCTGGTGAAGAAACAGGAATCATTGGAAACAGGAAAGAAAAGGTGCTGCTCGGCTGTGGGAGTGAAGAGGAACACAAAATGTATTCAATGCATTGGCTGACTATGACTTCAAAAAAAGCTGGCAGAGGAGGACTGAATCCAACAGGCACTATATCTTATTCAGGTGGCCTGTATTAATCTAGCCTTGGTAGGTTCCCATCAGTATGTTTGCCCAATATAGACCATGAGTTTTACATGCATGTTCAGAGTGGGCTGCATTCAATCAATTTCATAGCTAGTTTCCATGACTGGGTACATGCTGTTTCTGGCAGAAGTTCAATGACAGACAATGTATTTAATAAGGTTTTCCTGTACGCAAATAAGAAACAAGAGGCCTCCCCCACCCCCCGGTGCCACGCTGATCAAGGGAGCGGGCAGGGTGGGACCTCATCTTGTATCTGAGTAAATACAGCAATTATTTCACTTTATTTGAAAGGAAAATTTGACAGTAGCTTTTTCCCCATCATATACTTGGATTTTAAAAAGGCCTTCAATATATCGTCCCATGACGCTTTTAAAAAACCTGGGGGATTGTTGGCTGGCAGAGTCCATGGTCAGGTGGGTTAGGAACTGGCTAAGAGGTCAGACTCGGAGTGTTAGTGGATGGGCCTGTATGGTCTTGGCAGGTGGCAGCCAGGGGTATTCCGCATGGTTCGGTTCTTGGACCTGTGCTGTTCAACACCTTTATCAATAATTTAAATGAGGATGTGGAGGGCATGCTGGCCAAGTTTGCAGATGATACTAAGTTCTGGGGAAAAGTGGTCACACTAGGTGATAGGATGCTGATCCAAGCAGACCTGGATAAGCTGGAAAGGTGGGCAGAGTGGAACCAGATGCAGTTCAATAAGGATAAACGCAGAGTGCTTCATCTGGGGAGAAGTAACCAGTGACATGAGTACAGGTTAGGAGATGGTCTGGCCAGCACAATGGCTGAAAGGACCTCAGGGTTATGGTTGACCACAGGACGAACACGAACCACCAGTGATACGCTGCAGTCAATAGAGCTAATGGCATAGTGAGACGCGTTAGCCGATGTGTCGTGAGCAGGGCTAAGGAAGTGATACTTCCTCTCTACTCGGCGCTGGTGAGATCCCAGCTGGAGTACTGTGCCCAGTTCTGGATGCCTCACTTCAAAAGAAACGTGGAGAATCTTGAAAGGGTCCAGAGAAAGGCCACAAGAATGATCGAGGGCCTGGAGGATAAACATTATGAGGAAAGACTAAGGGATCTGGGACTGTTCAGCCTGGGGAAGAGAAGACTGAGGGGGAACTTGGTGGCTGTCTATAAGTATGTAAGGGGTGAATATCGGGAATTGGGAGAAAAACTGTTCACTAGGGCACTCCAGGGGAGGACAAAGAGCAATGGCCATAAGCTGTTAACAGGACAGTTTCAGGCAAGGAAGAACTTCTTTATGGTAAGGGTGACCAGAATCTGGAACAGACTTCCCAAGAGGTGGTACAGTCCCCAACCTTGGAAGTTTCTAAGAGGAGACTAGGCAGACACCTTGCTGGGATCATTTGATCTCAGCAGTATTCCTGCCCGAAGCAGACAGGTTGGACTCAATGATCTTTCAAGGTCCCTTAAAACCCTTAATTTCTATGATTCATCTTCAAATGAGTTTGACAAGGAGGAAAGTAAACGTTTGTAACAGTTTTCACATTTCTCACCCATTTCCTACATACCAATTAGACTATCTGCTTATCAGATTTTATAAAAAATGGTAAGTATCAAAAGATGCTAGCCCAATATATAATAAAAGGCTTTGTCTGTCTGTCCATAACACTTCTGGGCAATTGCGCGTGTGCCGTCAAGAGGGTGGGCAGCGACTAGCTGTGTGGCCCATGGTGAGCGGGCCCAAGTTTGAGCCACTGCTGGGGGAAGTTTGCGGCGATGGCAAATACGCCCTGGCTGCCCAAGCAGTGCAGCTTTCCCACGCCTCCCTGCCTGTGGGTGAAGGGGGGTGGGGGTGAGGAATCACAGTGGTGGCAGCTCCCCTACAACACCTGGCCCTGATGCCCTCCAGAACAGCAGGCAGGGAGGGAGGGAGGCGGACATGGGCCAGGTGCACACGGAGAGGTGGGGGTAGAGTGGGGCTGGACCGGGAGTGGCAGGGTAAAGTGGGGCTGGACCCAGATTGGCCGGAGGAGGGGTGGAGTGGGGATGGACCAGGAGCGGCTGGGGAGGGGGGTGGAGGAGGACCGGGTCCAGAGTGGTAGAGAGTGCAGAGTGGGGTTGGAGCTGGACCCAGAGCAGCTGGGGGGTGGAGATGGGCCGGACTTCGAGCAGCAGGGGGGCAGGAGGACAACGGCGATGCATGGGGCTCTGTCCCCTCCTGCCCCCCTGTCATTCTTTATGGGCAATCTGCTAGTCCTTCATAAGGATGGATAAGATATACATATAGAAATGGTTACATCTTTTATCTTTGAACAATTACATTTTTGAAAGATAAAAAATGAGCTTACCTCTATGTTAGAAGGAGGCTTGCATGATGGAAAGAATACATATTTGATCTTTTTATATGAAAGATATATACCCAAGATGATGGCCACTGCTAAAACAAGGACAACTACCACAGCAGTTAAAAAGGTTGTCAAAACAACTAGAGGTGACATGTGATCTAAAAATAGATGAAAGATCATTGGTTTAGATTAATGTTGTTTGATAGACTACACTTTCTAGATTTAAAAGACCATACATACTCTTTAAAAATAAACCCTAGGACATGCTTGAACGATTCTCAAAATGTTTTTTTTATTTAAAAACCCCCCAAAATAAACCAAAAGATCTAAACACTGTAAAATGTACAACCGAGTGGAAGATGCAGTCATGCTCCTTCCCTTTTGTTCTCTTTCTGGCTTCATGAGTCTTATGTTTTGTACTGGGACACAACTTAAACAGGAAGTGTAAGGATGCTCCCACCCTGTGCATTATCTTCCTATGTAGCTATCTTGAAAATGTGGAAATACATGTCATGTATTTCATGCTCAAATTTAATCTCGACTTACATTTAGTATATTCTATCTGCGTAATAGCCCATGTAACAAACGTTCATTAAAAATTTTGCTCATTTTTAAAAATATCACTATAAATTGCCAAGTTTAGGAACCAGTTCAAATTTATAGCATATGGAGCATGTCTTTACAGTGGCAACATTGTACTTCAGAGTAAGTCACAAAAAATGCTGAAGAGTTATAACTGCTGCATGCAACAGGGATAGTATATACCAAACATTATAAACTTTTCATACCACTAAGTGTTTCAGTGCATATCACATTGCTGAATTGACCACTCTTATTATATGCTTGTGCAAATGCTTGTATTTTCAAGCAGTATGTTCTTGAGGGCATCAAGTTTGAGATTGTGTGGAATGACTGTTGCGCCATGTCATTTGATACCTGCAAAAAGAAAAGATGCTGGTTATTATAAGAGTGATTCAAATGGATTAAAATTTTGGGCACTGCTAAATTATACATTTGTTTATGGAAATTTAGTTTGACAGCATTTTGCACATTTTCAAGTAAAAACTTTGCAAAACTACTTCAGCAAGTGCTAGGCAGCAAGGACAAACAATTTTTACCATTTTGAAAAGGTGCTGGCAATATTCCTTTTCTGTGCTGCACATGTAACTAGTTTTTTTTGCACATTTCACATATTTAGTTATTGTATAAAGACAGCCACATCACCTAGATATTGTATTTTTGTAAAAAAAGAGAATTTCTAACTACTAAAGTCAAATCAAAATGACAACTAAAATGTGCAAGACACTTCATATAAGGTCACAGATGTCAAACTCATTTAGTTTTGCTGGCTAGATGAGCAGCACAGAACTTAGTTTATGGGCTAGACAGATCTATGAACCAGCTTTACATTCCAGATCTAGCACATGTCCTGGAGAAGCCAGATTGGGCACCAAGTACAGCATGGCTGCCACATGACCTGGCCTGGCAGGATGTTATGGGGCTGGTCTGGGGTTGCTACAGCCACTCCAGGATGCGAACTGGAGCAGGTGCCACATGTGGGCCCATATGGCAACTCTGAGACCCATAGGTAGCACCAGAGGCTGGATGATAGGGCCCCACAGGCTGCATCTGGCCAACAGGTGTTATCTTTGACACCACTGATATAGGCCAAAATCATCCATCTAGTCTACAGTTTTGCATGGGACTCCAGTTTTAATCCTAGTCATATCCTGCCCTGCAGAAACGTGTGTTTTCTTGCATTTTGTCTTGCTTAACAATTAAAAAAAAAAAAAGTTACACTTCATCCTCTACAGAGACACACCAGCTAAACAACTCCAAATTCCTACAAACCATTTTTGTCCTATCTGGCCTGCAACACATTTTATTCCTCCTGCTAGCTTGCTATCAGGTCTCGGCAGTAACCAATACTGGTGCTGCTGGGCCAGGGCTAGCAGAAGCCAGAGGCCCAGGCTGGCACATGGTGCTGAAGCGGGCAGGGGGTGGGGAGAAGTGGTGGCAGTGAAAAGCAGTGAGTGCGGGGCCCTGTGGTGCCAGAGCCGGTAGGAGCATGGGGCGTGGGCTAGCACGTGGGGCTGGAGTGGCCAGCAGGACGGCAGAGGGGTGGGGAGAGGCAGCAGTGATGGTGAGAAGCTACAGCAAGAAGCGGCAGTACCCAAATATTTCTATTTACATTAATGCCTATGGGGAAACGGGTTTTGCTTAGTGTGGTTCTGCCTAATGTTTGTTTTCCCAGAACCAATTAAGAGCGTTAAGCGGGGGTTGCCCGTACTTTTAAAAAGGATTTTGAAAAAGGTTTTCCCACCTCAGGTTTTGACGAATTTTCCCAGTACTGAATTCTGTAAGACAATTCATAACATTCACTCATGGACTTATTTTCCTCTCCTGGACAAGTGATCTGGATACGGAGTAATTTGGGACCGGAGTTCACTTTTACGCTGGGAGGGCCAATTTCATCTTAAAGCATTGTAGAGAAGAGTTTAAAACAAAACAGTTAGACAAAGGCTATGTGACCCTGTAACAGCAAAAATTTTATTTGAAATAGCCAAAATCTGACTTTTACTTTTACAAAATGGGAACATGGAAAAGCAGTAAAATTATAAATATTTTAAAGTAATGATTCATTTTTTTTTATTGGTTAGTAACACTAAGTAATATATTAAAGTTATGATATAGTTCTAGTTATAAAATAGAGCTACTACATTTAAAAAATGTATGTTTGGTCAATCTAGTTGAATATGAAAAACTAACATGAAAACAAGAAAAAGAACATCTTCATTTTTACTAGCTAGATACATGTTGCTAAGAGAGTCACCTAAGGGTGCTGTCAGATATATAGCCTTGTAAGTCTGTAAGCCTGGTCTATTCTTATGGGGGAAGGGGACCCCAAATAATACTGTTGCTTCTGGGATGCAATTTCATTTTTCAGGAACCGCTACAACAGCAAAAGAGCATGCTGTCTGCCTTACTTTCTCTAACTAGAGTCAATTCTTAGTAGAACTGCTTCATAGGAACAAACGATTGCTAAGAACCTACCAAAATTGTTATTTCACATTTTTTGCAGAAACCACAATTTTGGGCAGACTCTGCAAAAAAGCACAGGGTCCACACTTTAGGTGTGCTCCCTGAAAAACAACAAAACAAAAAACAACAACAACCACCTCACCAAAAAATAAAAGGCTAGCTCCCAGCAGGTTCCTGTGGCCAACTGTGCAGCCCACTGGGAGGGGAGGAAAGGGGGTTGACAGCACAGCAAGATGGCTGCCCTCGCCCTGCTGACTGGCTACGAGGGCTGTCCATTATACGGGCCCACCCCTCACCACCAAATGAGCAGTGAGGGGCAGGGCTGCATGCCAGACCATCTTTGCAGCCAATCAGCAGTGAGGGATAGGGGTCATATGATGAACAGCCCTTGCAGCCAATCAGCAGTAAGAGGTGGGGCCACTGGGGCTAATTAGAGACATGGGAGACCCACTGCACCCTGCCTGTAAAAATGGCTGCCTGGCCTGTAGTTTGGCTGCAAAATTGGCTGGTAGCTGCCTTGACTTTGGTAGACCACCTAACAATTGGCCTTTGGGCTGAAAGAAGGGATTAACTACATCTGTGACCATCTGTGTTCAAGGACCGGCATATCTGGGTCAAAAACCCAAACAAACCACAAAACACCCATCCATGTAATAGATTTCTTCACTAATAGGAAGCCAACCTGAAATCCACCAATATCTGCTATTAGTTCAGCAGATGTACAACAACAAAGGCTACAATGGTATTTATACTTCTAAATGGTCAGAAGCATTATCAATTTTTTGCTTCCATCCATAACAACCAGCCTAGACAACTGCTTGTATATTCTAGCAAAGCAATGCCCAATTTCCAAAAGAAATTATTTATTAGATTTTTTTCCCCCTGAGAAGTATCAACCCTTTCAGATTGTGTGTCGAAGGTCAACCAGACCTTCAATGCATATGCCTAGAGGAGCCTGGAGGAGTGGAGGCTGTCCAGACCTTCCATCCCCCCTTTAAGCCACTGAGACACAATTCAAAGGCCAGACTGAGTCTAGTCCAGACATTTGGTGCTGTATACAGCTCTAGCTGTATAAGCTTCCGGGAAACAAACCTGGGTCCCCTGTGTAGCAGACAATAATTCTACTACCACTGAACTACAGTGGATTCCATTTATTAGATTTACATACTGACAAAGAAGAGTCTGAAATGTGGTATAAGTATTGATTCAGTAAAGTACACCATTCTTAATGGTTTTTCAACTTCTACAGCTTGGCAACTCTTATCTTTTATAACACCACACATTTACTATGACAGTAAAATAAAATGTAATGATGAAAAAAAAGACTATAGAATCTGTATTTCATGAGGCTGACACCACTTTCTTGAAGAATAAGGAGAAGCAAGAGTTTGTTCTAATCTGTAATAAGCTTTCAGTTCCTCACATGAACCTTGTCTTAGAGTTACAGCCCACTAATTGAGAAATAGTGCTTTAGTGCAGGGGTTATCGACCAGAAGTATGTGTACCCTCAGGGGTACTTGAGAAAGCCCTAGTGGGGTACATGCAGGTGAGCAGGGGCGGAGCACCGCCACGCACCAACGCCACCCTCCCAGCTGGACGTGAGGGGTCGGGGAAGCTTGCATGCGGCAGCTGCCGCTGCTCCACATCCAGCCACATGCCACTCTCCCACCTGCTCTGTGTCTGGCTGCCAGGAGTACACTGATCCAAAAAGGTTGAAAACCCCTGCTTCAGTGTATAAACTAGGTTGTATGTGTGCATGAGAGAGTAAGAAGTCTGTTCTCCCCTAATTACAGCATTCCACAATTGACTGATTTTCCAATTTTCCTGTTTCCCAGTCACATCAGAACAAAGCCCCCCGTCCAACAAAATATCGGAATAGAGACACGATATGAAAAGATTGAAACAGATAGGTGAAAAGTGAATACAAATATAAAGTAAAAACAAGTGAAAGAATATTGATAAAAATACATCTACTTACTTACTACACAAGGATCCACTTTTATTTCTTTTGAGGAACATGATCTATTATATCCATTCGTAGCATTTACACGGATGTAGTAATTTCCACTAGCGCCGATGTCAGAGAAGTCACATTGTGTATGAGAGATGTTTTCACATCCAGGTACAATGTACCACTTATTTGAGTAATCTTCATTAAATTGCTTATAAAAACCACTAGAAGAGACATTCTACATGAGTATGAAGCTCTTATGTTAAATCAAGATGACAACAGCTTCCATTTACAGTTGAAACACTAAAGCCTACATCTATTCCCCATTTTGCTTTATATTTTTATTATTTCTCAGGCAAAAAATGTACATTTGTTACATTTATTCAAAATACTTCTTGGAAGTCCAAATAAGGATTTTCTTCAGTTCTCAGCAGTTTTTTTTGTTTGTTTATTGATATGCTCAAACAACTCCAGGAAAATGCCATCTTTCTATGGTATGGTCATTCTTCTTAATAAAAGATGAGGGATATGCATAGTGTAACCTTTCACTGAAAATCTAAATACCAATTAAGAAATTAAAATATTTGAGACTGACAGCAACTTGTGTGCTCATACTGCATGTATAAATGGTTAGGCATCTAAGCCTGTGTCTTAATATCAAATTGCTGAAAAGCTTAGAACATGTATAATGTAGAAATATTAATATCTGAAGCCCCTGACATTTGCCTTTACTTTCAAGTTTATATTCTCAACATCAACTCAGCTGGTTTCCTTATATTTCATAATTTTTCTTAATGTAGGTATACCATAATATATTAACATTTTTAGTCATATTTGGAAACTTATTCCTTAGCAGTGCATAGAGAAACTAAGTGCTTTGAATTCCTAAGAATCAAGACATTTTTGTAATTCTTTTAACAACCAAACAGGCAACTAAATGTAGGGTTATTTGCCTCAATAAGGACCTATAGGCACTTTTCAGAGTTTCTGCAAATGCTGAGCTTCCAACATCTAATCCAGGACAATTTAAATTGTAACGTACAAGACTTGTATGTGCAGCACAGATTTGGATAAGATTAATTAAATTTAAGAGTAATTAAAACTTACCTGAGATATTGTACGTTGAAGCTCACACTGGTATTGTAGTGATTATCCCAACTGAGAAGAAATTTCATGTTCAAAGCATGAACTGTGACATTTGTTGGACAAGGAAGCCCATTCGATGCTTAAATCCAAAAGGAAGAAAATACCCACCAACAGTCATCAACAAGTATGTACAGTATTTTTTTTTCATATTAAGGAATAGGTACAGTAAATTTAAAATAGCTGTTTGAGGAGAACATTAATATCTTCTTAAGTTGGTGTTTTAGGAGTAAATGCACATTACTTTAAACTTGGGGTAAGTAACTCTCTCACTATAGGTTTTACAGAAAAACATTAGTAACTCCTGAGATGCTTCTTGGCACTTTTTGATTTTTTATTCCATTTCTCACACAGTTTCATAAGTACTCTAAGGGGTTTCTGATAGCTGCTCTGAAGTATCAGATTGCTATTAGGGTATTACCAAGACACTTAGTGCTGCTAGATCTTGAACCAGAAGTAATGTGAAAACATTAGCATGTTACTGCGTCACAGATCATACTGACATGCAAACAGCACTGCACAAATATGGCTATACTATTTCCAATTCAGAAGCTACCAGACTGAATAGGCACTGCATGTCTCAGAACAGCACTGCCTTACATCCAGAAGGACAGCCACAGTGACAAGACACAGGACTTGTACTACTTATCTTATCCAGTACTACAATTTCTATATATCCATGTACCTAGGAATAAAGTCCAAAGTCTTTCCAACATCTATTGAAAAGATACCGGAACATAAGATGAGACCGCAAAAAAATGTGCTATGTAATTCACATACTTCAAGCAAACACCCTCAAGACCACACTGAGCAGCTTATGATGATTAAAAAAAGGCATGGTTAGGCTTCGCACAAAACCAAACTATTTCTAACTTGGTTCAAGCCCATACAGATTCTTGATTTTACCAGAAGGATATATTTTCCCTTAATTCCCACCATACACATTCTTTCAGGAACAGAACATGAAATTTCACCCTGAATCCAATTTTCATTGAAACTTGTGGGAAACTTGATTATTTTGTACAGTTCAAGTACTTTGGAGTAATGTATTTACAAACCTGTTTGCTAATTCTAAGGTTAATTACTTAAATTTAAAGGATTTAGCTCCTTACCTTTAGTTGTGTTTATGCATTGTTCTGGGCTGAAATAACCTCTTTTTGCTTCAGAGATGAGGCGTGCTTGAACTTTCAGACAGTAAGTAGTCTCTGGTTCAAGATCATCAATTATATCTCTAGGATAAATAGCTCTATTTTTTGGCTGTAAGAGACAATTACAAAACATCACATTAAAGGAACTGTTCCTTCCTAAATCAATTCAATCTTTAACAAGAAGTGTGACCATTCTAAAGAATCACCTAGCACAGGGGTTGTCAGCCAGGGGTACACGTACCCCTGAGGGTACTTGGGAAGGCCACAGGGGATACATGGCAGCAGCGCAGAGAAGCAGGGGGCAGGGCCGCCAGCACTTTGCGCTGCTTGTGCTGCCACATGTCGTGTGCTACTGGCGCTTTTATTTTCCACTGCTGTGTGCCGCCAGGGGTACACAGACAAAAAACATTGAAAACCCTTGACCCAGCACATCAGACACGTTCAGGTACATTCAGGGAGCACTGCATTATAATGTATGATTGACATTCTTAGCATAATTTTGAACATTAATTTGTTGAGACTGATTTTGCTCTAGTTTAAGCCACAATATACCCAAGTCTTTATGTATACTCAAGCTCATTAATATCTCCTGAAATCTATAAAAGTTGATTTAAAATAGCCAAATTAAATAAATGTAATCCAAGTTTTTTCACACTTTTATTTTTTAATATAAATTCAGAATGTGCTTGGTAGGGTCTTAGAATTTTTTTCCTTTAAAAATGGCTTACAAAACCAGATTTCTCACCATGTGTATCCCCACTTGTTTGGCATTTATACTAACACTACTGTATGAAGTGGAAGACAGGTATTTTCTACACTGGATGTTTAGGAAACACAAACAATCTAGTGAATGCCAGTAAACCAGCCTACAATTTCCATTCTAAATGCCTCGCAAGGAGTTGTGATGCTTTGTAGAATGCCAGAGATTGAGAAATAAGAAGAAGATCCCTGAGCTACTTTTACATGACTGGAAATATTCATACGTTGTCAATGCTAATCTTGTCAGGAATAAACCTTTTATTTTTCTTTTGCATTAGCAGGGACTGTAGCATTTATATTTACTATCAATATATTTGACATATATTAAAAATCTTAGGAGTACAATATCTTATGTGATCATTTCAAATAATGTTTGTTAAATTCATGTAGCAAGATGCAGGTAAGAAATTCAGATAATTCAGAAATAAAAATTTAAAAAACCCAATATTTAGTTTTAGGGAGTCACTGCCTTAAGTAAAATTCCAAGAATAGTTATTTTAAGACTGAAAGTCAAACACCTCTGCATTTGATGACTTTTTCCAGATAACGGCATTATAGCTAAAACTGTGCTGTGTCCACATTTTTTCCTTCGAATTTGCCTCTGGAGGGGAAATGTTGACTTTCACTATTCCATTTACAGATTCCAGTTGCACTTCTGGAGGACCAATTTCAGCTGTAGAATAAAAACAAACAAACAAACCCATGAGTATAATAATTTTGAAGAGACAAAACAATATACTTTAACAAATAAACTACAAAGAAGATACCTAAAGTATGCAAGTCAAAATTCTTCTTAGGTGAAAATTAAATAAGCAAACTCCAAGTTTTATTCAAGACTGAAAAAAGCTGGCATAACATCCTTTAGAAGCAGGACAGAATTTTACTGATTCTAAGACTTTGAAAAGTTATGTAATTTATGCAATGTGCTTCCAGAAATACAGAATACAGACAGCAGCTCAGTCCAAAAGAGCTAATTCAATATTAAGGGAAGGGTCTAATGGTATGTAGGTTCCAGTTCATGATTAAAGTCAAAAGAACTTGAATCGCCTATAGATAGAAATCACAGAGAAGGGCTGGAAGGGACCTCGAGAAGTGAAGTGATCTAGTCCAACCCCCTGCACGAGGTAGAATCATCCCTATCCAAACCACCCTATACAATGCATGCTCTAAACTCTTTGTAAGGCTACTGTTAACCCTGACCATGTATTTTGCTTCACTGGCAGGAACATGGTGACACATGCAAGATATGCCACTCAGGCTCTGTCTAGACATTATTTTTTTAGTGCTACAAGATTTATCCCTAGATCTGTAGCACTGCAAAAAAGAGAGATGGACAGCTATGTGTTAAAAGCAACCCCCTGGCTGGAGAATGACAAAGCATGCTATTCAGGCAGGGGGCGACAGGGGAACTGCTCCTTGGCTCCATCTACCCCCAGGACTTTAAAGGGTACATTGGCACTCCAAGACCAGCGCTGTTTGTAAGACACCTGGGGGTGACAAGGGCACACAGTGGTTGGTTGGAAGGCTTTGCCTCCACTCGGTCTCTGCTGCTGCTGCAACAGCCCTGTTCCTGTTGCTACCAAGCTGCAGAAACCCCACTAGTCAGCCTCTGTTGCTGCCACAGCTGTCCTGTCCCTATTGGCATCTAGCAGCAATGAAGAAAAGGCTGCATGCCAACTTCCCTGGATGGCAATGGTTGTCAGGGAGCCAGCTGCGTCCCCCACTCCCTCTGGCCCCCAACCACTCCAGTGTTTTCAAATGTGAGAAATGCAAATGCAGTGGACTGGATGCAAGGTGGAGAAAGCCACCACAGCACTCCATGATATGAACAATGAGCCATATCTCACTCCAAAGTGAGAAAAACCAGTTAGGACACACTATTTTTGAGTGCTAGGCAATCACACGTTTTCTATTGCAATTACCTATAACTGGTTATATAATAGCTACATTAAGGCTGTACTAATCTGATCTTTGTCTATTCAAATTTATAAGAGTCAGTTAAGTTTCTCAAAATGAAATCTTTATTAGCAGTTAGATTAAATGTAAATAGTTTATTATTTGATACTATAAATCTACATTATATATATCACGCTAATGCAATAAGGTTGGAAAAATCATGATAACAGGTGAGATTTTCAAAAGCACAAGTGACATTTAGATTGCATATTCCATTTGTGCCTTCAAAAGTCTCTTATTTTGTATTCAAACCCAATCCAATAGATATTGTATCAAAGTTCTTTTCCCCCCAACCAGAGATTTAAAATACTTTGGGAACAGGGGAAGTCAGATAGGAAAAGCTCAATGCCACTGAAAGCAGAGGAAGAGATATTAGCAAGAATTAAGCCCAGCCTAAATAATTTTCATAGTGAGTTAGCATTTCCCATTGGAATAGTTTAAGCAGAATAACTCCGTTATGTGTTATGTACTCACAACAGTATAAGTGTGATTTACACCACTATAAGTTCTTCCACTTTCCATACAATTCTATACTGGGATAAGCCATTTATGCTGTGATAACTGTGCCACTGAGAGGAAGGTAGTATTGGACTGTTTTATCTGCTGCACAAGGTCTCAGAAAAGTTACTGTTCAACTATTTACTAAATCATTTCATAAGCCTAAATAAATGGCACAAAAATAGTTTAATAAAAGGCAATTAGCAACTGATTTATGCAAGACCACACACTATGGAATATAAATGTATACTATATATTTTATGTTGTACTGTTATGTAAGTTGAAATACAGTTGCAAAAAAGTAACACAGTACAAGTAATCCATACCTATTATATTTGGAACAAATATGAAAGGTTCCGACCATGGAGATTTTTCTTCTCCTGTTTCAGCTCTTACACGCACAGAATAGTTGCACAAATAATCCGTCACTGCTGAGGAAATGTCACATTTGGTGACAGTGACATTTTCACACCCAGGTAACTCTGTCCAATTTGTTCCATCTTCCTCATAATCCTCCAACCTTTTGCAAAGGCAGAGTACAGTTAGATTTCTTCTGGTGACAAAACCAACATGCCAAAGTTCATTTAGTTTATCAAACACCTTCTATCAACTATTCTAGATTACAAGAGATATTCTATTTAAACTAAATTAAATCAAATTATATTAAATAAGGACATGCAAATAGAATTCAGCAAATTCTGGATGGAATTTCCTTGCTAGTCTACTCCTAGCAGCATGAAAAAATATAAGGAACATTTCAGGATCTGGGAGGAAAGCCAGAATGTGCAATAATAAAAGGAGGAAAACTAATCATAGAATCACAAAGTTAGGGTTGGAAAGGACCTCAGGACTATCCCCAACTAGAACATCCCAGCCAAAACTTTGTCTAGCTGGGTTTTGAAAACCTCCAAGGATGGAGCTTCTACCACCTCTCTAGGTAACCACTGCTCCTTGTTCTGTCATCTGCCACTACTGAGAACAGTCTAGCTCCATCCTCTTTCAAACGCCACTTCGGGTAGTTGAAAGCTGCTATTAAATCCCCCTCAGTCTTTTTCTTCTCTAGACTAAATAAGTCCAGGTCCCTCAGTCTTTCCTCATAAGTCATGTGCCCCAGCCCCCAAACCATTGTCACTGCTCTCCCCTGGGCTCTCTTTGATTTGTCCACATCCTTTCTGTAGTGGGGGACCCAAAACTGAACATAATACACCAGATGGAGCCTCACCAGTGCTGAAGAGAGGAATAATGACTTCCCTTGACCTGACAACACTCCTACTAATGCAGCCCAGTATGCCATTAGCCTTCTGGCAACAAGGGCACACTGCTGGCTCATATTCAGCTTATTGTCCACTGCAACCCCCAGGTCCTTTTCTGCAGAGCTGCTGCCCAGCCACTCAGCCCCCAGCCTGTACTGGTGCATGGGACTGTAATGAGAACAATAGCAGCAGATCAGGGAAGCGTATAAATGAAGAAACAAAAAAGGTGAGGAAGAAAAAAAAATGTAAGGAAAGAGAGAAAAGGAAGAAACAGCACAAGGTATCAGAAATAAAAGAGGGGGAAGAGATAAAACAATATGCTACAACACAGAAAAAGAACTGAGCTGTTTTATCCTACTAGAAATAGCCCTTCTCAACCTAACAACTACAGCTGACTGCATGAAGTGGCACCATATGAAAGAAACAAATATCCTGATCAAATGGAGAGTAGGGAACCCTTCACATATACATACATAATCTTAGTTTAGACAATTACAGTAAACGGTCTGTTATCTGGCATTCCTTGGGAATGAGGGATACCGGTTAATCAAATATGCTGCATCCAGTGCACCAGGGCTTTCACTCCTTGGCATCAGTGTGCTGGGGGACAGGGAGGGGCGCTCTGAGCAGGCTGCTTTGCCCTGGGCTGTGGAAGAAGTGAAGACGAACTCGGCTTGCAGCAGCCAAACCGGAAGTGGGACTTCAGGTTTCATTTTTGCTATGTCCCTCGGAAGGAAGATTTGTATTGACAGATGCTGGTTAGTGGAGCTTTCTGGTTGGTAAAAAGTGTCAGATAACACGGCTTTTGCTATACGTTGCATCTCGAGAGACCTAAATTCAGCATGGGATTATGGGAATTCTGTGCTTTCTTCTCTTGCTGCATTCAGAAGTTTCTCAGTGCTGTTTTGTTACAAGACAGAAGTATAGCTATCCTATGCAAAGGCTTATAATTTAAATCAGTTTCAGAGTGACTAGCTCAACTGACATCAACTAGGTTTTGATACTTCCCATAAAGTAGTTATCCTATATAAACCAAATCCAATCATCAGAAAAAAACCTGCAGTTCTTCTTTTGAGTTATCTGAATCTGCCCCTTACCCATTTGGGAAAGAATATATTTTGATATTTTTTATAATTAAACCCACACAAACACATGGTTTGATCAGGCATCCTTTGAGAAAATTAAATGTTTGCTCCTTTATACTTTACCAAAAGGGACCCTGTCAACATGTAAGAACTCCATTATGACAGAAATCTAAACAAAGATCATTACTGCCTTATTTATTTACTACATTTATTCTGGCACAACATTAATACACTTTGGACACAAAGCAATGATGCTATCAATATGTCTAATCTATACATACCTTATGTCCACTTGCCCAAAATATTCTACATGTTGTTTCTAGAAGTGGATGCTAAGTAAATCTTGTTGTCAGTAACATACAAAATTGGTTCTCATCTATAGCTAAACAAACTCCAAGTTCTATTCACCCATATTAAAAAATATGCAGGCCATTCATTCAATTTCAAAAAGAGTCAGTAAGGCTTCCTGGTGGCTTCATAATTTGTGGTATGATTATATAAAATCCACCACATCACAAAAATCTGAGTTTGGTCCTGTCTACTCCACAAATAAAACCACACCAAAATTATCCACTTACATCACCAGAACTATGGTGTAACTAGTAGCACAAATTTACTGTACTTGTTAAGTAATCTACATTTTTAGTAGGTTAAAGGGACAATCATTGTCACTTCCCTGAAGAACATATAGATTCCTAGAACTGGCTGTTCACTTTTTGGATGCATCTCAAAGCACAATGCTAGAAAGCCCAAAATTCCCAAAGTGACTCGAATAATAGAAGGTTACTACCACAATAACAATTAACTTTTTTAAAAATTCAAACTATTCCAGGTACATTAGCTTTTATTTTCATTTGGAAAATATGTTCAAACTACACAAAGCAATAAAATGACAGATACGTACTGTTTGTAAAGCACCACACTTTCTCAGATTACCAATGTGTTCCTGTTCTTGTTTCAACAAGTTGTTTTTTTAAATTGCACTAAGACAATACAAAAATAAAACTCCCCCACCATCTTTACAGAAACAGATATCAAACAATTTTAGGTCCACAGTAAAGTAGTGAACTTACCACTGATAATGAGCTGAGAATGTCACACTGAAGTTGTTCCAACTATCCCAGTCCCATTTTAGCGTGATGTTTGTGTTTATAATGTGGACTTGAACATTCTGAGGGATCATTACATTCATCTGGCCTACAATTAAAAAAAAAATTGGGAGGGTGGGAAGAAGATAAGGCAGTGGCTTTCAATCTGTTCTGGACTCAGGGCACCCTTCACTGGACTCAAGGCAGCCTCCATAACTTCTGTCAAGACAGTGGTACCCAATTTCAAAAACAAATTTATATATTACAGTGCTTACCTCCTTGCAGAGGAGCCAGGCAGTCTGGGTGGGGGATCAGCCAGGCAGAGACAAGTCTGACCCTGTTTCTATCTCTTCATACCTTGCTGCACCCTTCAAAGGAATGGTGGTACCCCTAGTAAACTTTCTCCCTGTCATCCACTCCATGGGGCCGCAATACAGTCTAAGTCTAGGATACACTGTGTATGTCTTCTCCAGAAGGGCTCAGAATCATAGATAAGTTGGCGTGGAAGGTACCTCTGGAGGTTATATAGTTCAACCCCCTGCTCAATGCAGGACCATCCCCAACTAGATCATTCCAGGCAAGAATTTGTCTACCTGGGTCTTAAAAACCTCCATGGATGGAGATTTCACAACCTGTTCCAGTACTTTACTGCCCTCCTCTTGAGAAAGCTTTTCCTAATATGCAACCTACTCTTCCCTTGCTGCAACTTCAGACCATTATAGTTCCTTGTTCTATCGTCTGCCAGCACTGAGAACTGCCCAGCTCCATCTTCTTTCAAACCCCACTTCAGGTAACTGAAGGCTGCTATTAAATCCCCTTTCAGTCTTCTGCAGACTAAATAAGCCCAGTTCCCCCAGCCTCTCCTCAGAAGTCATGTGCTCCAGCCCCCTAACCATTTCTGTTACCCCTCTGCTGGACTCTCTCCAATTTGTCCACATCCTTTCTGCAGGGCGGGGCCCAAAATTCCAGTTGTGGCCTCACCAGTGTCGAACAGAAGGGAATAAACCCTTCCCTCAATCTGCTGGTAATGCTTCTATGAATGCAGCCCCAGTATGTCAGCTTTCTTCGTAACAGGGGAACACTGCGGGCTCATATTCAGCTTACTGTCCACTGCAACCCTCAGGTCCTTTTCTGCACAGCTATGGCTTAGCCAGGCAGTCCCAGTCTGTCAGTGCATGGGACTGTTCCATCCTAAGTGCAGTATTTTCACTTGTTCTTACTGAACCTCATGAGATTCCTTTTGTTCCAATCCTCCAATTTGTCTAGGTCTCTCTGAATCCTAGCTCTACCCATCCAGCTTTTCTAAATAGGCCTAGCCTGTTCATCCACCACTGTTATTTGCTCACCTCCTCCCCAAACTGAGCTGCCAGGTACAGTAGTCTGGCAGCTGACTTTGCCTGTGAAGACTGAGGTGAAAAAAGGCATTGAGTACTTCAGCCTTTTCCTCATCATCTGTCACTACGTTGCCTTTGCTATGCAGTAGTACCCCAAGTGTTTCCTGGACTAGTGCTCTGCATCTAATTTCAGGAGATTAAGAGTAAGGAAGTAGACTGTGGTTTAAAACAAATACTTGCTAATTTGGAACAAAAAAAAAGTGATGGCAGGCAAGAGGGTCTGCAGCCAGAAGTGCAGGGGGGGAAAAAAGGAGACAAAAAGGAACTTCAATAACTTTCTTAAACGCTATCATTCTCCAGAAACAATAACTGTCCAAGTCTGGATAGTCCGTTAGAAAATAGACAGAAAGACTGCTTTCTAGCTGTACTTTGTAGAACACAGCACAAGTAAGTATATTGCCCCTACACTACTAAACACAGGAAGTAAGCCTTTTCCAGTAAAGCTGTCTTCATTTCAAAAGTGACAGATTAAAAAATTGTACTATAAAGACAAGCTCTGAATTGAAGTGAGACTTCACCTTTAAAGTGGTTCTAATTTCAAAATTGAGGGGATAAAACGGCTCCCTTTTGCTCACCAAATGTCTTATTTGTTTATGCGGAATCCTATGATGTGTTCAATTTCATGAAAGAATAATTTCCTACTTTTTACTAATGTCTGCTAGGCAAAACTAAAATTGCTCTGAAATAATAAAAAATATTTTCTGACTATTGCACTTAGATTGTTAAACATATTCCATTTACATGGCAATCTCTGCAACACCTTATCTTTAAGTTATTCAACCCCAACTGAAAAATTACTGTAGTAGAGACACAACTTCATTATTTCACCAGGCTGTTGCATAGATGCAACGGAAAGAGGCATATGGTGCCAAAGTTTAACTAGTAAAGCATCTGTAAACTACGCAAATCTGAGCTGGAAAGTCGCTGAAACAGTAAAAATTAGGAATTTCTCTATACAAAGTCATTCTTAAAAGTAAAACTACATTTGTTATTAGTAAAAACTTAACTTTAATAAACAAAAGCAAACCACAGATATCCAGATTGTACCCTTTTAACCTGGAAGCCTATTTATATGCTCCTTATTATTTCCCACTTCACAACTGTATTTTTCCTAGAAAAGTTTTACGTTAGCAAACACATTTGTCCACTGTAATAGGACACATCCATCATAAATTGATAGCTTTCCAGTAAATTATGAGAACATAGTTACAACATCATGGAAAACAGCTTCAGACAATCACAAGCAGTTTTTTTCCACTAAAAAAAATATTTGGTGCTTATTTTTTGTGTCAGCCCCAATTTTAAGAAATTACTTTATCTAATCGGGTGATGAATAGAGTATCTTTGTCAAAAGACAGGATAGAGAGGGTAGGTAAGCCACACAAGTTGAGCAAAATTCCTTAGTTAACAGAATGTGTTCTACTAGAACTTTAAATTCTGCTGTTAGATCACCAGAAAAGAAATAATAGGAAGCAGCTTGTTAGATAAAATGTCTGCGAACATGACAGATACAGTTCAGCTACAGGCCAACTTACAAGGACAAGTAATGGTGAAGAAAAAGAGAATACTCTCAGAGTAAGTAAAAATTTTCAGGGCTGGACAACAGAAACATGAGACCTGCTGAGGATTTGGTTGGAACTCCTCCAAATTTGGACTTTTTTAAAAATCAGTGCTCATTTTCTATTACTGGGAAGGTTTTTCTTATTTTAAAGAATTCTCTGTCTTCTCATGATAAAATGAAGGATGAACTAAACCTAAAACTTAAAGCATTTTTTTTAAATAACCCATATGATTTTAATGGAACACTGTCATCTTGCATTTTTAAATTATTACTTTAAAGAGCACTTCATCAACAACTGATTTTTTTTTTTTTTAGAAAGCTCATGTCACAGTTTATTTTTTAAGTGTTAAAAAGAGAGAAGAAAAAAGGATTAATTTGGCTAAGGGAACAATCAAGGACTCGATCATTCAAACACTTAGATTTAGCTTTAAGCACATAAATTACTTCACATTACTTACATCGAAACATTTAAAGCAAGAGCATCAAACTCATTTAGCTCCAGGGGCAAGATCTGGACCCTGAGGTTTCTTGCAGGTCAGAAGCCTGACTTCCAGCAGTAAGCAGGTAGCAGCTTAACCCTCTGGGCACTGGCCCCACTTAGGGAGCAGCTCTGGTAATCATGGGCATTAACCCTTCCATAACTTGCCTCACTGCTCAATTTCTGGCAGGTTGGATCTGGCTTGCAGGCCTTATGTTTGGTGAGGAAAAAAATTAAATAGAAATAGGAAGAATAATTTTCAATTTTGATATGGTACTACACCACAGGAAGCTTTTATTTTTCTTTTAAAATCAGGCTTTAAAGATGTAACGTTACAGCAACTGCTGTCTGACCTCTTACACCGATTGCTGGTCCCAAGCATGCTACAGGATGTGGTAACCAGAGAGTTTTAGTTCTATTGCCTCACAACAGATAAGTCTTTGGTTACTAGATCAATACATTAATGTTAAATGCAAGTATGTTAAGATAAACTTAAACTTTTTTCTTAATTACATTTTATATTACATTAAAATAATTGTATTTAACTAGTTAAAAAACTATTCTCATGCATTTTTTAAATATTTTAACTGAATTCCAAGTTTCCACCTGAAGCAGAGCTTGACACAAGTCATACAAAACTAATTTCTCATGTACTAAAAGAGGTATAGATCACCATTTTAATGAAATAAAAAAAATGTAATAAGGAAGAACCTAACTGAACATATGCCACAGGACATAAATGTTTACATAAATGTGAAGAGATCAGATGGTATCCGGATTGTGCGCCAAGGAGTTTCAAAATGAGTATAAAGACTATATTTATAAACATGTTCGAATGTTTACCAACTAATGTTTAACATCAGTGACTTAAATCATATCACCCTGTTCAATAGAAAGCCTCACACGACATTGCTGTGAGGATCAGCTGCTAAAGAAAACAGGAAGGTAAGTAGTAGATGTAAAGAGATCAAGGCAGACTTCCAGTGGGAAGATAAGGGTTAAAAGAAGAGGCAAGTGAAGAGGAGTTTCTCCCTGGGCTCACACCGCCTTCATCAAATTGCCTTGCCTCGCACCGTAGCCAAGAGTGGCCGCAGAAAGGGAGCGAGACCCGGGACGACCAGCAGGTCTCAAGCCGCCCAGACCCTCACTTCGGGGAGTGGTGCTGCCCACCCCCCCCGACACGCCGTCCAACCCAGATCCACTGGCTCCACAGCCGTCCCATGTTTTCCGGAGCCACACGTCCTCCAGCCCTGAGCTTTATGGGCTCTCATGAGAGCTGTCTAGTTCTGATCCGGTGGCAGCCACTTTGCAGGGGCAGCCGCTCTCCGTTTATGGTGCGAGATGCGCCATAGAGATGCACCGTGTAGCGGGGAACAGGCAGGTGGGGGGTGGAAATCAGCCGGGAGCCTGCACTCACCCACTGCACGCCCAAAGGACCTGGTGGCCCCCCCCCAGGCAATACAAGCCCAGCCCCCCTCCGCCCTCAGGCCACGGCTGCAGCGCCCACGCGTGCCCTCAGCCGCGGCCCCGCTCACCTGCGCAGCGGCCGAAGCCCAGTGCCGCCAGGAGGCTCAGCACCAGCACGCACTTGCCGCGCAGAAATCCAGCAGCCACCATCCCGCCGGATAACCAGCCCCCGCCGGCCTCACGCTCTGCGCATGCGCGGCCCGACCCAGCCCCACCCAACCGCCGCTTCGGGGAAGCGATCAGCGGCGCAAGAGGCGGAGCCTAACTAGGGGCTAGCTCTGCGCATGCCCAGCCCCGCCCAACCTCCGCTGCTTCAAGGAAAGCGGTCAGTACTTACACTCATCACTCATCGCGCTCGCTATGTAGCGGGTGGGGACTAACTGGGGGAATACCTCTGTTCATGCGCGGCTTGGCCCTGCTTAACCGTCGCTGCTTCGGGGAAGGGACCGTTAGTAATTCCCCGCTACCGTACTCGCGACGCAGGGGGTGGGGCTGTGCGGCTCTGTGAGGGGAGGCTGCGCAGAGCGCGAGCCCGGGGGGAGGGTGGGTGCCAGGCATAGCCTGCGGTAGTGGGGCGCAGGAGCCTCCCTGCGCGGTTTTCCGGGAGAGGCCGGGGATCCTGGATTTCTGTCCTCTAAAAAGATCCCGAATTTTGGGTTTAAAAAAAAAAGTAACCCCGAATCCGCATTTTCCTGTGATTTAAATTAAACACCACAATACACAGATATATAGTGGTGTTTCATTTTAATCATGGAAAAAATGTGGATTTGGGGTACTTTTTTAAACCCAAAATGGGGGATTTTTTTTTTTAAATGAGAGAACCAGGATGCCTGGGTTACCCTGGAGGCTCTGGGCATTGGAGCCCCTAGCAACCCCATGCCCTTTCTGAGCCTCTTTCTAGGCCTGTGTACATCCTTCATGACTGTTAGTGCTGGGGAGGGGAGAGTTGGGCTTCAACTTGAAAGTTTTTGGGGGGGGTGGTTAAAGGACTTTTTTAGGTCAAATCAGCCAAATCAATTCCAAATCTGTGAGTCATTCAAGACCCATATGTGGCCCTGCCTGGCCTGGGGCTTCAGATACTTCCAAATCATTTGGCGGGCATCCTATGTGCAGGTCCAAATGGGGAGACTTGGGGTTTGGATGCCCCCCAAGTTTTGCTTCTCTTTAACCACATGGCCACGGGAGCAAGCAAGTGAGAAGTCTCCCAATTCCATAGAGTCAGGGTATAGCCAAGATCTATCCACTGGAAGTGAAAGGGAGGCTAACTATAATTACCTCAGTCAGAGTACTGCCTGCTGCCAAGAAGGTGGTTTTCCCCTGCATCTAGGAAAACCACCTTAGTGGTCATGGTATTCAACTTGCTAGTAGCACATGGTACAAAACATCAAGGGATGCTGCCTACCCTGAGCAGGCTAGCATGACTGGGAGGCATTCCTCTTTGCTTGGCATGGGGTTTCCAGCCAGAGATTTCAAAAGCAGCTGGCTGAATCATGGTCCTCAGCTGGAAGCTGCTGCTGAATTCTTTTGAAAAACACCCTTCTCCATGAGTGAGCCTGGCAGGCTAATTTACAAAGGTCTTAGAATAATAGAATCCCAGAAAATGAGGGTTGGAAGGGACCTCAGGAGGTTACATTTAGTCCAATCCCCTGCTCAAAGCAGGACCATCCCCAACAAATCATCCGAGCTAAAGCTTTGTCCAGCCAGGTTTTGAAAACCTCCAAGGATGGAGCTTCCACCACCTCTCTGAGTAACCTGTTCCAGTCTTAAAGATCTATGTGGTATAGAGGTGCTCACATGGAAGAGGGCACACCTTCAAAACCCCTCCCCAGCCCCTTAGGCGCCTAAAGTCTGTAGGCACCTAAGTCTTTATCAGTAAAGTTCCTGAGGTGCCTCAATCTCTGCTGCTGTGCCTAGCCAGCTTTGATGATGCCTTGGCACAGTTGATCAGCTTGGCACATTGAGAATCACTGAATTGAGTTCCTCTGGCTATTTCCTGGCAGGGGATTTTTCTGGTAGGTGTTTTCTGTAGTATGCATCCAGTGGAGTATATAGTTCACACAGAATAGTGGTTGTAGCTCATTTGCAAATATGACTGGTGGTGGTACTACTTTCCCTCTTTTGTACAGTAGGCCCATGCTTAAAACATTGGGCCAGGCTGTGGGCAACTAGAGTTCAATGTCCTTGTCAGTCTGCTCAAAACATGTTTCAACATACCCAGACATGTATTTCTTGCTATGATTTCTTCCAAACACCTTGTCTAAATAAAACACTCAGCTGATGCTGTGTAAATAAAGCTATTGCTGTTTAAACGTGTGTGTGCTTTCATTTAAAAAAATCCTCTGTAGACAAAAACTTTATAGCAGTATAGAACAGTTTAATTCAAAGCTTAAAACTTTGCATGAAGAGCCAATGGCTTTTAGGGATAGCTTTTCACTTCCTAGGTGGCGCTGTTGGTGTTTCTTGGTCTGAGGCAGATGCTTTCAGGCATTCCAGGTGATCACTATTCATGGTGTTGCCCATAACAAAAGATGGTACATTTGGCTTGGCCATGGCTTTCATAAAGATGTCCCAGCCTTTAGGCTAGAGGTGGGCAAAATACAGCCTGCGGGCCAGATCTGGCCTGCCAAGCACTTCCCTCCAGCCTGTGGAGCCCCTTCAAAACCCAGGTAAATGGTGGCTGCCTCTCTAAAAGCCTCCAGTGGCACCAGCTGCCAGCTGTAGCACCTCAGGCTGTTTCCTTGGGTTTTGGTTGTGAGGCAACCAACCCTGATCTCAGCCTGACCCAGCTGGCCTCACCCAGCCCCTGGCTCAGGGTTCTTTGCAGCTTGAGAGGGGCAGGGGGGCTGGGCCAGAACCTGTGGTGCTGGTGAGGGGAAATTGTGTCTGGGCCAGTTTCTGCTTTGCTGCACTGGACTGGAAAGGGCCCTGCCGTGCAGGTAAGCCCAGGAAAGCGGCTGCTGGGCAGGCTTTCCCCATGTCATGCCGTGCCACTTGGGCTGTGTGGGGTCAGGCTGGGCCTGCACTGGGGAGGGGAAGCAGCAGCTGGGCTGCAGCTCTGGCCCAGTCAGCACCAGAAAGGAGAGGTGGTGGCAGAGCTGGTGCAGGTAGGGAGAAAATGCAGCTGAGCTCCTGCTGCTCTGGCCAGGCTTGTCCCATCCCAAGCGGCACACAGCTCCGCTGCTGCTTCTGCTGGCCAGTGCAGACCCGGCTGGGCTCACCCCGTCCCCAGCAGCACGTGGGAAGCCGGCTTCAGCCACAGGCTACTCCAGATGGGATGAACCCAGCCGGGTTGGCACCAGCCAGGAAAAATGGCATGCAGCTGAAGCTGGTTTCCCACGTGCTGCTGGGGATGAGAGGAGCCTGGCCATGTTGGCATGGGCCAGCAGAAGCAGTGGCAGAGCTGTGTGCCACTCAGGATGGGACAAACCTGGCAGAGGTTCAGCTCTATTTTCCCCCTACTTGCACCAGCCAGTCCTGAGCGGCACACAGCTCCACTGCTGCTTCTGCTGGCCAGTGCTGACCCAGCTAGGCTCCTCCCGTCCCCAGTAGCACATGGGAAGCCGGCTTCAGCTGCATGCCAATTTTCCTGGCCAGTGCTGACCGAGCTGTGCCTGTCCCATCCAGAGCAGCATGTGGCCGAAACTGGCTTTCCACTGCTGCTGGGAATGCCCGGCTGTGACGGCAGTGGCTAGCAGAAGTGGCGGTGGAGCCTCCTGCCTTTTGGGACCAGGTGGTACAGGTAGGGGGAAAGTGCAGCAGCATGTGGCGAAGCCAGTGCTTGATAGGGGACAGGATGGGCTGGCTGGGCCACACCGGAGGGGCAGGGGTGGAAAGCTGTGGCTGACCCCCCTGGAGCTTGGGACGGGAGGGGTCCCACAGCACTGGAGTGTGCTGTGCTGGTAAGGAGACCTGGGCCTGGGCTGGCTTCTGCTGTGCTGCAGGGGAAGGGCGGGGGGCAGGCTGGGTTGGGTCAGGACCAGGTCATGCTGGCACCAGTGATGGTTGTGGGGTTGGCCAGCTTTTGATGCCTGGGGCTGATAGGGTGGGCTGGGTCCTTGCTTGTGGGAGGGGCCAGGTTCCAAGGCCACCTCTCCGAAAGGAGTACTTCCAGGGGCAAGGGGAGGGACGTCTGGTGGCAAAGGTCAGGGGTTATGGAGCGGGACTTCTGGTCCCAAGAGGGTGACCAGGGGGTGGAGCAACTGAGGGGGTGGGGCCCTCGACAGCTCGCCAAAACTCATCAAGCGGCTCTCCGCCCAAAATAATTGCCTGCCCCTGCTTTAGGCAGACATTTACTAGACCCAGCATGAGTCTGAAGGGTTCCCCAGACCAAGTCAAGCATGTTAGAACCCTTGACGAGCATTCTTTTGTCGACAAAACCCCCTTGATCACCCCAAGAAGAAATATCCTTGTGCTGGCTCAGCTTAGTGAGCAACACTTTAGCATTTTTCCTGTATCAGGCATGCACGTTATCCAATACTTCCTGAATGACAGGGTGGGGGTTCATTGGGGTTTCTAGGGGGTTTCTGGCTTCTAGGGGGGGCTGTTCTGGCAGAAACAGGGTTAATTTCCCTGTGTCCAGATCACCCTGTTTTACGTAGGTCAGGTATTTCTGAAGCACAGTGGCATACAGTTTAGCTTTATTATATTCTGCTAAATCCGGCCTTTGGAGAATATCCTTCATTTCAGCATCCAATACGTGGGTTGCCTTGGTTCTAATATTTTCCTGAGGTGGTGGGGGAGCCCTTAATTGTTCCAGCTCATGTTTGGGCACCAGGTACATTTTTTCTGTGCGCGCCATCATTGGCTAGTCAAAAGCCCCGTAATCAGAGGGACATCAAAACTTAACAGAGGGCCAATAAATCCCCCAGACTTTCATCAGCTGTTTCTTTTTTTTAAGAGGCAATCTTTTGTTACTTAGGTTTTTTTATGATTCCACATCTCTTTTTCAGCACGTGAATTTGAAGCAGTGTCAAAGGGAAGTTTCCTTTTAAGGTGTTCAGAGCAATTTCTGAAATGGCCGCTACTAAATCGTCAGAGGCCGAACAAGTATAGCTTTTCTCTGCTGTGGGGAGGATTTAAGCAGCAGTTTTAAGACAGCCAATTTTTTTTTACATGGTTAGGAATCTTCCCCTTGCACCATCTCAAGAGCTAAGAAGAGGCTGCTG